CATTGTAAAGGTGACTAATCAGGCTTTCCAACGATATAAAATACAACACCAATTGGAATTATTAAAGGGGAGGAATAATTGACCGAAATAACGTTTCCAAACTTTGACCTTTAGGAGTTTATATCAGTTTGATATACTGCTATGTTCAAGAATGAAAGGCTACAGTTTCAAAGTCAACAAATACATTTATTAATGAGATAACTCAGATGAACAAAGCGCTATTCCAAAGTCCAAAGATCAACTGCAGTACAACACAAAGACTGTGAATGATCTATAGAAAATGTCCACTTCGTGCTGAAGCTTCCACTGCTCCGTGATTACCCACCAAGAGTCACTCTTTTACACACCGACAGTGAATGTGATTTCAGGTATGATGGACAAGAAGAGACGACGATTAGACATGGAGCAAAAGGGAAGACAAGACTAAATACACAGAAGGGTAATCACAGGACAAGACACAGCTGGGCAGGGGAGGCAGAAACACAAGGGCAACAGGTGAACACAGGAAGGGAGCGCAAAAACAGGGAGAACAGAACTTCAAAATATACCCATGACTTGACACACAAAACTAAAATCATGACATAATGTCAAACATTATATCATCATATAGGCCTATGCCTTCTTAGTATTACCGTATATAAAATGAAATACTCTACTTTGAATAATTAGTGTTTGGTAAATTCTGAAATCAAATCATAAAATCTAAAAATATATTAAAGGGCCCATGTCATGGCCATTTCCACTGATCATAATTACATTGTTGAGGTATACTAAAATAGATTTATACTGTGCAATTTTCCAAACTCACATTGGTTTCGCATACAGCATCTCTGTCAAGCATGTGTATTCAGCAGTATTCACTTTCTCCACTAAACGACTCGTTGGAGCTCTTGCCCCCCCCTCCCTGTGAGCCTAGTGTGCTCCGATTGGTCAGCTCGGCCACTCGTTCTGATTAGTCAACCACCAGAGAGGCTGCGCCCATGTCAGTGCTTTTCCCGGCTGCTCTCAGCGTAACATCAGTCTTATCATGGCGTCGGTACAGCGGTATATTTTATATACATATATATTTTTAACTGTTGTTATAGAAGAGTGTGACGGCCTCAGGGCCTTTGTCTTACGGTGGGGTGGAGCTGAAGAGGGTAATCAGCGCGATCACGGACACCTCCGTAGCCGGTGCTATTAATCCCAGCGGCCCGGAGTCTCTCTCCAAAGCGGCTGCAGAAGGACGAACTGAGCGACCCTCTCCCCTCGACCACCTGTCTCTGCATTTACTACAATAAATGTGCCGTGGTTTTGTAAACTCGTGTATGTCTCCTTGTCTTTCCGTTGTGGCCTACGAGCTACTCTCATAACAAAGAGTAAGTTATTTTTACCCGTTATAAACTACTACTGTTTGATGAGAAATCAAATCATGGTTTGCTATATATGAATTCAGGGAAGAAAGGATAGGCCTACTAAGTATTTCCATTAAACTTTATTTTTAGAAATGTACAAAATGAACATAAATATACATATATACACGGTATATCATCCATTCCTCCTCCTCTTGCCTGCGCACAGCCGGTGCGGTGCGGTGCCTTTTAGCACCCTCAGTAGTAGTAGAATCCCTTCCCCGTCATGGATTGTCCGCCAGGATCTGGCTGGACGAAATCAAATGCAAATCACAAAATATTAGAGAAACTTAGTTGTTTTAGATTCGTTAGTAGTAGTTGTGTAATGAACAGCTTGCCTGCTAATATGCTAACCTAGCTTTGTTTACCTTGGTAGCTAACACGATATGAACGTTAGCTTGGAGGAAAGGCAACTATAATGCAGTGTAATAAAACTACTATGAACAAAAGCTAGTGGTTCATATTAGGCTAGCAATAACGTGTTTATAATTGCAATCGTATACGGGTATTCTGCTACGTTCGGTCATACAATGTAACTTGCATGAATACATTGTTTTGCGCTAGCATACAGCTAGCCTCGTTAGCTACATGCAGTATATGTACGGTCACAATGTACGGTAAATCACAGTACAGTATACTGTATGAGTATTCCGTGTGTGTGACTGCAGACATTCTCCTGCCATGACAAACATGTAAGGCCATCTGCTGACATTGTAGTTGATATATTTAAACGCTAGCAACGTAGCATCACAAAAATGTTTTTCTGACCGAAACTAGCTCTAGCTCCGTGTGTTAGATCGCTACGCCAGCTATAATGTAATTACGTTTCGCGACTGACCGGCAAATCACCCGGAGTATACTGTCAATAGGTATTTTGTGTGTGAATGCAGACATTCTCCTGCTATGAGATACATGTATGCAAGGCCATCTGCTGATATTAGAGTTGATATATGGAAACTCTAGCAACTTAGTTAGCACTGTGTCAATGGCTTAGCAGTCCAACACAGTTTACACATTTAAACAGTCTTGTTTGATAAATACACAAATAACAATGCAAACTTACAGGTTGTATACCCAGATCTTCCCCTGCTCCAAACGGTCCAAACAAGCTGTGCATATCCGGCCTCAAACTGGGCAATGTTTTGGAAGCTTTCGTCTGTGAAATGCCAGTTCTTCGAACCTCTGGAGGAGGAACACGACGCTGCTGGTGTGGCCATAGCTCTTCGGGATTGGTCCATTTCGTTCCGGGTACCGCATGACATCAGGCGGTACCCGGAACTAAATGGAAGACTCAAATGGGCAGTGACGTATCTCCAACGAGGCGTTTTGGGGAGGTATTTTCTGTGTTAGAGTTTTACTCGCTACAGGGTGTACTTTGAGGGTTTTGACTCTGCACACCGTTTACATGCATAAAAACCTTCATAACACACAAGGGGACGGGTAATAACCGGAAAAGCATGACATGGGAGCTTTAATATGTAACAAATATATTCCATTTCAGAGCAGAAGAAACAGCCTTCAAGGGTCAAACTCTGCACATACATCATTCCCAAAAATGTGTACTGCTGAAACTGTCCTGCAGATATCTTCCCATTGTCCTCCATAATAAACACTAGAGATATGCCACCTATATTTACTCTGGTTAGTAGCTGCACTACTGAGATAACAATATACAATTTAAAAAGAATAACCTCAAACATGTGGTTTAACAGTTTGTGCTCAGTCCTGTAGTTCCTGGGAGGAGAAGAAGAAGTTTCTTGGCTCAGTATCAAGACATGAAGACATACTACTTCTTTGTTTGGTGAATCAAGAGAAGGAAATCAAGATCTCTCTGCATTTGTTTTCTGGCTAAGAGGGAGATTTATTTTATGTGTTGAGCAATACTGATAATTGCTGATAATACTTTTGTACTTTTACACAAGTGCAGGGCTTTAACTTGTAATTAAGTATTTTGACAATAATGTATTGGTACTTTTACTTTGAAGTATATGAACACTTCTTCCACCACTGCAGCTACACACTCATTGAATCCACTGTGAAAATAACCACACAGCTCAGTTTTGACTTCTTCCTGATGAAGGACAGGTCAGGTCAGTAATATCTATTTTACACTCTGTGAGAAGTCATATTGAGTCCTGATTGCATTTAAAGTCTTAACTGACAGTGAACAACACGGCATGCGGACACTCCCCTCCCCTGTGTGAAATGAGGAAATACAAGTCCCTTTGTGTGTGATGTAACACAACTAGGGGGGGTGTGTGTGTGTGTGTGTGTGTGTGTGTGTGTGTGTGTGTGTGTGTGTGTGTGTGTGTGTGTGTGTGTGTTGTGGTGTGTGTGTGTGTGTGTGGTGTGTGTGTGTGTGTGTGTGTGTGTGTGTGTGTCCTCTCACAGGGAGAAGATGATCTTCCTCATCCTGCTGCTCCTCTTCCTCACCCCCTGTGTCTCTGGTTAGTTTACTCCTTTATTTCCCACTCAGACACAATGAATATTATGGAAAAACTTTTTGTGTCACGTTTTACCTTTTCACAAAGAAGCATCTTAGAGCTCTTTGGTATGGAACACTATTAGTGCAAGGCAAGAGGGTCAAAACTGAGGAGGGGGATTCTGATTTGTTTAGCTTTTTTTAAATCAAAATGTCAAGAAGTGGAGCTTTCAGTATATTCTCCAACAAAAGTAATTTGTTCTTAAAAGTTCAATGTTTATTCTCAATAATTACACTTTAAAAGTGCCTAACTGTTTTTTCTGATACATTTTTCCTAACTCAAATTGAAAGATTGATATTTTACTCGACATCTTGGCTTTTTTCTTAACATGCTAAATAAAAAAGTAAAATAGTCCCTTTCTTCTTTATTTCCCTCATACCCTAATACTCTTCCTCACCTGAGGAGACCTCTGTCTCTGGTTAGCTTCAGTTAGTCTCTTTAAAGCTGTTCTCAGTAAAGCAGCACAGAAACATAGCTGCAGTTTAAAGAGTCCCTCTGTGTCTCCTCCACAGGAACATAGCTGCAGTTTAAAGAGTCCCTCTGTGTCTCCTCCACAGCAACATAGCTGCAGTTTAAAGAGTCCCTCTGTGTCTGCTCCACAGGAACATAGCTGCAGTTTAAAGAGTACCTCTGTGTCTCCTCCACAGAAACATAGCTGCAGTTTAAAGAGTCCCTCTGTGTCTCCTCCACAGCAACATAGCTGCAGTTTAAAGAGTACCTCTGTGTCTCCTCCACAGAAACATAGCTGCAGTTTAAAGAGTCCCTCTGTGTCTCCTCCACAGAAACATAGCTGCAGTTTAAAGAGTCCCTCTGTGTCTCCTCCACAGAAACATAGCTGCAGTTTAAAGAGTCCCTCTGTGTCTCCTCCACAGTAACATAGCTGCAGTTTAAAGAGTCCCTCTGTGTCTCCTCCACAGAAACATAGCTGCAGTTTAAAGAGTCCCTCTGTGTCTCCTCCACAGAAACATAGCTGCAGTTTAAAGAGTCCCTCTGTGTCTCCTCCACAGTAACATAGCTGCAGTTTAAAGAGCATACCCTCTTCCTCCTCAGACATCGGAGTCAGATCCTCCCCTTCACAGTAGCCCTATATAAGTGGTCGTTGAGCTTGTCAGAAGTTACTCGTTCTTCATCTGAGGGAAGCCACTATGGAAAACTCTCCCTGTGATGCTTCTCGGTAATAAGGTAATGAATGAATATTTTAAAGTTATAATATTTGGCACCTAGTTGCTTAGTTTCTTTTGTTACCAGATTTCACTCTCTGTTGTTCTCTCTTCTATAACCCTGAACAATGTGTACATATTATACTCAGGCTTTATTTAAAACTGCAGCTACTTGTTTTCTCAGGCTCGTACTCACTGCATTTACGTTTTTATTTAAAATGGCACACTTTATAATGTTTACACGCTGTTTTTAGTAGTGGGTTTATTAATTATAGTGTTTTCTAGATCATTCTGTATATTTAGACGTTGTGTATTTTTTATATTGTATAAAATATATGCTTCTATTGTTAATGTGTATATAAAATATACTTTATCTTTGTTATTTATTAGTCATGTTATGTGCAATGTCGTTTTTTTTACTTGATGCCGTAACAAAGACGTTTCCCTATTTGGTCTTGATAAAGTAAATCTAATCTAGTTATTAGAATAGTTGTTGTGAGATTTGACAACATAAGGTTGTTTGCATATTTTGCACAAGTTCACAGTTGCATACACCCTGAACAACAACGCTGTGTTATTTTATCTACACTAACGCTGAGTTCAGCATGCTGGTTCGTTTTGTTGTTGGGTTCAATTCCCAGTGCAGGGGGTCATTGTAAAAGAGCCGCTCAATGCTTTGTTCACTTTCTGCAGAAGTCAAAGGATTTCCTGGTTCATTTCATTTCATTTCAATCTTTATTTCGAACAGATTAAAAAAATTAAAAAATAACAAATGTGAAAAACAGAATACCGTATTGTTAAAATAAAGTATTTATCCACATTCATGATAATATTTATATATTCAACAAAAAAAGTCTTCATATTAATAATAATAATAAAAAAAAAAGTAATACTTATTAATTCCCATCCCTTACTTGATCAATGATTGTCCTTTAAATCATTATGCAAGTTATTCCTACATTTACATTTATACATACATATAAAATAATTTCTCATCTTCAGTCACCTCTCTTCATTCTCATAGTTTTCCAAAAAAGTGTTTCTGTACATCCTTTTAAACTGAATTATATAATTGAGACCTTAACTCAAGGTCAGAACAACTCTGAGAAGTATGAGTATAACAATTAAACAGTTAAACATGTTGATATCTGGCGCCACCTAGTGTCAGATGTTCATTACTGTTCCTGGTGTCAGTCCTCTGTTCTCTCTGTGTAATAAGTATTGTGATGACTAAAGACAGACTGTGAAGCCCTTTCTCAATTATAATGTTCCCCTCCTCGACTCCCCTCTTCGACTCCTATCCTCGACTCCTATCCTCGCGTCTTAGTCCCGCCCACACGAGGGGAACCGAGGAGAGAGGAGGGGAACCGAGGAGTTGAGGAGGGGAACCGAGGAGAGAGGAGGGGAAGCAGCAGGCGGTTAGAGAAATGAGAACTCCTCTCCTCTGAGCGGTCATTTTAAAGAGACGTCCATTAATGATGACAGGAGGCACAGCAGCACTCTGTCTGATGGACAGATGTGTTCATGACGACTTATATATTTACTTTTAATTCATTCACAGTGCGGTATAATGAGACAATAACAGGCTACAGATACCGACATATTCACACACACACATTTATATATATATATATTATACACACTGTTCTGCTTTCTTCACTGACCTCAGCAGCTTTTCTCACTTTAAACATCGCGTCACGATTAAAGCAGTTAACAAACAAATGGTAAAGGGCAGAAAGTCTGATGCACATTTGATCATCTTAAATAACTTATAATCACAAGGGAACAGTTTGCAGAGCGGTCATTGGCTGAGATCAGTCCGGCCGTGCGTCACGACTCTTTGAAAAATCACTGTTGCCGGAAATCTCAGAGGAAACATCAGTGTATCCTCGGTTATAGCTCCTCCAGAGAGCCTCCTCTCTCCTCTCTCCTCTCTCCTCTCTCCTCTCTCCTCTCTCCTCGATGCACATTTACAGAAATGAGATGTCCTTCAACATGGCACGCTGAAAACGGTTTCCGGGTCACCAGAGGGCCGAGGAAGCGGATATTAGAGAAATGAGAAACGGCTTTTATTTTCTAATGTGTTACATTTGACCTCTGATGTGTGTGTTTGCTCTCTCAGGGAGAAGATGATCTTCCTCCTCCGGCGGCTCCTCTTCCTCCCCTGCTGTGTCTCTGGTTAGTTCATCTCTTTAATGCTGTTCTCAGTAAACATAGCTGCAGTTTAAAGAGTCCCTCTGTGTCTCCTCCACAGAAACATAGCTGCAGTTTAAAGAGTCCCTCTGTGTCTCCTCCACAGAAACATAGCTGCAGTTTAAAGAGTACCTCTGTGTCTCCTCCACAGGAACATAGCTGCAGTTTAAAGAGTCCCTCTGTGTCTCCTCCATAGGAACATAGCTGCAGTTTAAAGAGTCCCTCTGTGTCTCCTCCACAGGAACATAGCTGCAGTTTAAAGAGTCCCTCTGTGTCTCCTCCACAGGAACATTTGTAGTGAATGTGACTCAGACTTCCTATCAGGCAGAGGAGAACCAGAACATCACCCTGGAGTGGACCTTCAGCACCAGAAGAGACACTTCTCTCAGATCCATTTCTACCATCTGTCAGCTGTTTACTGAGACCAGATCCTACGTCCTGTTTCATCTCCATCAAGGTGTTGAATCCCCAGAGTCTCAGGATCCACAGTTTTCAGGACGAGTCCAGTGGGACAAAGACGTCCTCACAGAAGGACGCCTCACACTTCATGTCTCCAGACTCAGGACCAATGACTCTGGGTTTTATGTGTGTGACATACTCGTCAGACTTGATGGGAGTAACTCTAGGAGATGCTGGCTCAACATCACTGGTGAGTAACCCCCATTCATCTTTGTTATAAAGTTAAACTCTCAGGGTGTACGAGAACCTGGGAAATGTTGTAGATGTTTTCTTTATCAGGGAAATGTTTTTGACACAGTTTTGTTTGGTGTTTTCACAGCAGCGACACATTGGAACAAACCTGAGACCCCCAACAGAGGAAGACGAGGAAGGATTGGCCTCTACTCAGCGTTAGCACTGGTTTCTGTTCTACTTGCTCTGTGTGGCTGTGTGCTTCTTAACTTCAGACGACAAGCAGCCAGTGAAGAAGGTTCAGACTCAGGGACAGGCAACAGTTCAGCAGGTGGACCAACAGAAACAGTTTGACACTGTCTGTTACATTAATGCTCATCGATAGACATTTTCACACTTCTGCACCAAACTGACTCTTTAGATCTGCAGCGCTCTGACACTTTACTTCAGGTATACTGTACATCTTATCTCTCTTTTGTTAAAGGTCCCCTATTATACTCTTTTTCATCAATATATTATAGGTCTCAGATATATACAGAACCTGTCTCTGATTGGCTGAAACACCAAACAGATCATTGCAGAGATTTGGTTACAAAGAACTCAATGGTGCTCTAGGAGGAGATTCAGGTGATAAGGGGGGGGGGGGGGGGGGGTTACCTTGGTTGGTGATTGGCTATTGGTTACACAAGCCAAAACATCGTTATGACATCATAAAGTGGCCAAAATCTGATCAGCTCATTTTCAGACAGGTTTTTATAAAAATGGATCAGGACAAAAAGAGAGAGAATCTTTGTTCCTGAAACTTTCAGAGTCTCTTTCCACAGAGGGGACACATGTTGATGAAGAAGAGACATGAAAGAGGGGACACATGTTGATGTAGAAGAGACATGAAGAAGAGGGGGGACACATGTTGATGTAGAAGAGACATGAAGAAGAGGGGACACATGTTGATGTAGAAGAGACTGAAGAAGAGGGGACACATGTTGATGTAGAAGAGACATGAAGAAGAGGGGACACATGTTGATGTAGACGAGACATGAAGAAGAGGGGACACATGTTGATGTAGACGAGACATGAAGAAGAGGGGACACATGTTGATGTAGAAGAGACATGAAGAAGAGGGGACACATGTTGATGTAGAAGAGACATGAAGAAGAGGGGACACATGTTGATGTAGACGAGACATGAAGAAGAGGGGACACATGTTGATGTAGAAGAGACATGCAGAAGAGGGGACACATGTTGATGTAGAAGAGACATGAAGAAGAGGGGACACATGTTGATGTAGAAGAGACATGAAGAAGAGGGGACACATGTTGATGTAGAAGAGACATGAAGAAGAGGGGACACATGTTGATGTAGAAGAGACATGAAGAGAGGGGACACATGTTGATGTAGAAGAGACATGAAGAAGAGGGGACACATGTTGATGTAGAAGAGACATGAAGAAGAGGGGACACATGTTGATGTAGAAGAGACATGAAGAAGAGGGGACACATGTTGATGTAGAAGAGACATGAAGAAGAGGGGACACATGTTGATGTAGAAGAGACATGAAGAAGAGGGGACACATGTTGATGTTGAAGAGACATGAAGAAGAGGGGACACATGTTGATGTAGAAGAGACATGAAGAAGAGGGGACACATGTTGATGTAGAAGAGACATGAAGAAGAGGGGGACACATGTTGATGTAGAAGAGACATGAAGAAGAGGGGACACATGTTGATGTAGAAGAGACATGAAGAAGAGGGGACACATGTTGATGTAGAAGAGACATGAAGAAGAGGGGACACATGTTGATGTTGAAGAGACATGAACAAGTGGGTTTTGCAGAATAGGTGACCTTTAAGAGATAAACAAAAATGATCAAATGTGA